TATCCTTTTGCATGGGTACTGTTGTTTGTAACCCTTGGGCCTGTGGTTGAATACGATGTATCCATGTACTTTGTTTCAGATTACTGATGTCCATCAAGAGAGATTTCAACAGCTTTGCTTTAGAGACACGTAGCAATCCATATGCAAGTGTTTATGTGGGAGACAAGCCTATAAATCTTTCTTCATAAATGACAAATTATGTCCCCTCCACATGTTCCACTCTCTGCCTCTCCTGCCACTCATACTCTGTTTCCCAAATCTAATACTTCAAATGTTGTCCTTTCATCTTCTTTTAAATGCAACTGATAAAGTGAAATGGCATTAAACCAGACCAAAAGGTCTTTTTTCCTGGTAAACATTCAATTGAACCCAGTGCCTGCTTTGTCTTTAAGGTAAAATATTCACAGCCTAATAATGTTTCTTTAGCACAAAAGGAGTATCATGTGCTGGATGAATCAAAATGTACCCGAACTCATATTTTTAAAGCTTCCATTCAGCCAAAAATACATTTCTGCATGCATTATCTACATGCAGATATTTTATGCCATGGTGAGCCCTCTCTACAGAAGCATGAAGAACTGAGTAAGATCTCATATGTTTCTCTAGCGAAAAAAAGCAGCAAGGAGGAAGGATCCTATTCAATCAGCAAGAGTAGGACTGCAATTCAAATATTTTTATAGGTATTTTACAAAGTCATTAAAAAATTTATCCTGAGAAACAAGGTATTCCTCAGAAAAGCCTTTAAGATTTCTGATGTAAACCAGCATCCCCCTTGTGGCCATTTCAGTGTTATCTGAAGCTTCTTGTGATTCTATGCATCAGCAGCACAACCTTTCTACATCTAGACATCTGCAAGAAACGTTTTAGCACTTTATTTGTACAAAGATAAAAATAATCATATTTCAAAGATTTTCGATTTTGAGTTCAAAATGTACTCTGCAAATTAGGGTTTCTAGGTGAAGACCCTATTGAGTAAAAAATGACCAGGGTACTTGTGTCACCAATTGTGTCACCAATGAGCTATTTTAATAAAGGCTGATTGGTAAAAGTGGATGGAAAAATCTAAACAAATCTTCCATGTTTTCTCCAATTAATTGTTAGGAAGATCCCATTTCACCTCTAAAATTTTTTAAATTAACTTTGTTCCCTAAATAACACAACTCCTAAAAATCAATACTATAACTCTTCAAAACATAAAGGTAGTTCTTGGCAAACAAAAATTGCTACTAACATTTTTATTAAAATATGTGGAAAAGTATCTTAATGGAAAAAATGGGAAGCATCAAAAATTTTTTGCAAACGACCCTTCATGTTTTCAGTAATTTTAAGGAGTATTCAAAAATTGGGACAAGCTATAGATCTAACTAAACATATTGAAATTATATGTTAAAAATGCCTCTGAACTTGTAATACAAAAATTTACATATTTTATTTCCTTTCTCCCACATACATACTTGTGTTGCTCTTCAGTAATGTATGATATTTTAAGACAAACAAATGGGAGATTATATATAATCAATTCTAATATGTCAATGATGTGCATTACAGCATTTATAGATTTAAGGATTTTTTCTCTTCATAAGCAACTTTTTCCCTTTTCTAACAAATACCAGAGAAGACATTGCCACAGTGTGCCAATTGGAATGTAAGCCTATGAGGAACAATGAAAATAGAAGGAAAGATTTGATCAAAATTAGTTATTTTTCTTCTGCATGCTGTTACAGTGGCTCCTTAAACTGAGCTTTTCAACACTGATGTCAAATCCATTCACAGAGTAAGTGGGTCCTTTAATGTATATAGTAATGTCATTCCATTGCTCCAAGACCTTCAAAAGGATACTTCCTAATTTTCCTGGAAAACTATCTCCTAAAAGTATGTCCCAGAGACTGAGCTGGTTTGTGGAGAGCAGCTGAAGCTGGAGATACTTGTGGGTTATCTGTGATGGACCCAAGAGTCACACTGGGAATACACTGACAGCTTTACTAAAAAATGTATGGCACGTCATTCTTGAAATAGACTGCTGTGGATTTGGAAAAGAATGCATACAGTTATATTCATGGCAGGCATAAACACTCAGTGTCACTCTGTAGATACCAGGATGTGATCAGCTATACTTTTCAGTTCTGGAATTGATCTTAGGTTTTTATTGCAAAATGTTTTAATACTTATTAGCCTACTCTGTAATGTTTTCAATGTTTACTTAAAATTTCCAGTCATTCTTGAAAACTCCTTTTGGTAATATACACGAAGGGTAGATAATGACGGTTGTCAAAGTAATACATAATGATTACTCCAAGAGATATTTTCTAGCATACACCTACCTGCAGTCAAAATGAATACAAGCCAGATCCCAATATTTTGACCCAAAAGGTAAAAATGATTTATAAACAATTATATAGAAAAGCTGATTCTTATTCTCTGTTTACTATAAATTTATATCTAGTTTGGTGTTGGGATTTTTTTCAGATATATTTCTGTCCTGAGATCCAGCTAGCCCTGAAATGCATGAGTGCTCTTTCACTGACTTTAACTACAGCTAGATCATGCCAGTTTTAACAGACAAATCTTTTACATGGTTGTTTTATGAGATGACTTTTACAATGCTGACTTCTTGTATAGAGAAATCTTCCTTAACTGTAAATTTGAAGATGCAGTACACAAAATTTTCCATAACAGAAATTTTCCATTCTCTTTTATCTTCATTACTGTACTTCCCTATTAGAAGGGAGGAATGGTTTACAGCCCACTTGCAGTGTTTACTTTAGTTTAATCTAAATAGTTGACCCCATTAAATCAATTTCAACTCCTGCCCTTTGCTTTTACTTCAAATTCAAATGCTATGTTAGAAATGAGCAAAAAGTTGAAAGAAATCTATTTAAAAACAGAAAATAAGTAAGTTAGACCAGAAATAACCTCTACCTCCAGCAGCACAGATTTACTTGTTTAGTAAGCTACGTAATACTGCAAATTGAAAAATAGAGCATGACAGCTTTTGTTAACTCATACTAATTATATGCTATCATACCTAACACCTTAGTCAGATCTTAGGCATCTGAAAGCTAGTGATTGACAGGTCTCATTTGAAACTCTAAAAGACTTTATTTTAAAATAAAGAATCACAGTTAGTAGGTTGCAGAATATGCTCTTAGTCACTATCAGTCATGCTCTCCAGTCCCAATGGGAGAATATAGTTCATTGTTAGTTATTTGAAGTGTAATGCTTTACAAAAGCCCTGAGATAAAGATTCCTATGCTAGATAATGTTTCAGCAAGAAACATTTAGGGTTTAGGCTCATAGGCTCTTACAGGGTCCCACATGGTAGTTAATGTTAATAGGCCCACATTACAGGTAAGGACAGGCTTTCAAGGAGAAATTCTCTTTCTAATTACATATGAGGTGGAGGAGAAAGTACTTGTGCATGGTCCTCAAGATTTCAATGATCAGCCACATCCCAGCTAGCATTTGTAATAATCTTTATCTACTCAGAGAGAGAGAGGTTAGGTGGTTATATTTATAGAGGCTCTTCTCCTTGTGATTTGTAACTTATAGGCTCAGTGCACAAAGCATTCAACAGCCACTCATAATTACATTTCACTTATAAAACACCTACATATAGGGGCCTTATCAAGGCTATAAGGTCTAGAGCTAAATACCTAGGCAATGCGCAAATGAAGGTTGCTTCTTCAACATTGTCTTCTTATACATATATATGGATTACAGTAGGACTTCTAATTGCATGATAACAGCAATTTTTTACCATCTTACCATTTGCTTCATCAGTGCATGGAGTGGGCAGTGCTCACTGGCAGAGCCAGTATTAAATATTTTGCTTTTTCCTCCTTGAATGCATGGCCCCAAGCCATTTAAATCCTGTTCAGAAGATACTCTCCTCATGGTTTTTCACTGGTGCTTCACTAAAATATATGAATACTTTACAATATTAATGGATTTATATGTTCACAAAATTAATACTGAATGAAAATTATGTTTCTCCCTGCTCCACAACTAAGAAATTAAGACATAATGTGATCAAGAGCAAAAAAAGTAGCTGTTAATTTTAAATGCTCAAGACAGGACAGGAAGAAACTGATTTTTGGAATAGTTCGCATCTTGTCAAGGATAATGTTCCAAGTACAGCTTCCAGTGACATCTGCAAATTAACCAACCACTTAAATATTTCCGCTACTCAGGTATCACAGCCTCAAAAACAGCATTCAGGAAAAGAGAGACTGCAGCTACTGAGAAGCTGAGAAAATAATTGTTTTTGTGGCAAAACTAGAACTTAGAATAAGCAACCTGTGGCAGCAACAGAGCTGTAACCTGTGTCTTTGGGACACACAAGACAGCAATCTTTTCTTGGTATCATTCAGTCCAGCCATTAAATTCTGCAACATGTAGAATATAAGGCAAGGACCTTAAAGCAAACAGCCTGTTCTACTACCTACTATAGATCATCTCTTCTATTGAGTGATTTTCTTTCTCTTTTCTAGTCTTTTTTTTTCAATTATTGTTATTCTTTTTCTACCTCCTTCTCCCCCTTTCTATTTATCTGTTCTCCTCCTATTCTCATCCTCACTTATTTCTTCTTACCAGCTCGTCGGGCAACTCTTCTCACTGTGCCCACTCTGGTGACAGCAACTTCTGAGGACGACATAGACCGGAGACCCATCAGAAGACTCCGGTCTAAGAGTGACACCCCTTACTTGGAAGAGGCTCGGATCTGCTTCAACCTTGATAATGGTAAGACCAACACCTTCCCCAAACAGCATACGTTGTCAATTAAAAACTTCTTTTTGAGATGCAGATGGACCAGATGGTACCTCCTCATTCACAAGTGATGTGGTGGTTCACCAGACATCCAAAGATGCCAAGGCTGTCTAACTACAAACACCTGCATATGTATGAACAGGGATCATTTTCAAACTTCTCCTGCAAGTGCTAACTAAAACTTTTTTTCTGTTTTAGCCAGGGTGAGCTAGTGAGATCGCACCAAAACAGAATTGATTTGCAAATAAAATATATCTTATCCATTCCAGGCATCCAGAAACATGAAAAGTTCTTGAGAACATTTATGAAGGGATTACAGCTAACAGCAGACTTGAGTTAAACTCAAGTTACCACCACTGAAGAACATGCAGCACAACCCAAAACTGCAATAGGACTAATTGGCAAACACGTAACAGAAAACTCTTGACTCTGCAGGAATAAGTAAGAGAGCTGCCTTCAAAATGCAGACCAACTAGTGTTATTATCACTGCCTTCAGAGTTAGTGAGCCCCAACATTCCTTCCCTGGTCTTTTCTTCTCATTGAAGTTGACCATCACAAGAGAATTTGGAAGTACTGACAACTTAGTGACTTTTGATTTTTTTTCTAAAAAGCCCTGAATTAAATGACATGAGCTAGTACACTCTTAGGCACGTATTTTAACTGTCTAACTCTTACTTTACAGAGTAATTTTGTGCTACCCACTTTTTTAAAATAGCATTTTTAATTATTTATATTACACTAACCAACACAAATTGGACCCCTAATGTGGCAGGCAGCCTATAAACCACAGGGTAAGAACGTCTACATAAAGAGCTGATTGCTAAACAGAGTTGCCACAAAACACCAAGTCCAGTTTGCAGCCAGAGAACCGAGTGAGCGTCCGGCTTTTGCAGGTGGTCACAGTTTTCTCAAAGACCTGCCGAAGCGACTTAGGAAGGCGAGCACGGGCTTTGAGCGATGGTCAGTTTCAAACGTTGAGTGCAGGCTCCTCACTCCCCTTGGCATTTTAAACTGTCAAGGTGTGGCACCATCCCGCTTTACGTAATGGGGCTGCCCAAGGAAAGAGGGCAAGGAGGTGAAGGGATGCACCGTTAGACATCCCACCGAGTCCCGATGCAGCTGTGCTGTGAGTTCCGGACGCGCTGGGCTAGAAGGGAGCAATTCGGGGCGCCGGGCTGGCTGCGGGGCGGCACCTCTGCGGCCAGGCCCATCGGCAGCGTTTGTCCCCGCAGCCGGGAGCTCCCTGCGGGCGGGAAAGGCGCTCGGGCGGACCGTGCCCGGGCGGGTCCGCGGCGCGGGGCCGGGGACACCGCTCGGTCCCCCGCAGCGGAGGCGGGCGGGACTCGGCAGGGGCAGCGGGCAGGGCCGCCGCGGCCGCTCCCGTCCGCAGATCCTTGACGGGTTTTCCCTGTCTCTCCCCCTCCCTCCCCGCGCTCCTTTCTCCCTTTCCCTCTCTCCTTCCCCGTCCTCCCCTCCCCCTCCCGCGCCTCTCTCCCTCCTCCCTTCCCCTCTCTCCCCCTCCGCCCCCTCCTCGCCCGGCCGCCCCGCGCCTCCGCTCGCCCTCGCCAGCTCGCCGGGCCACGCTGCTCACCGTGCCCACATTAATGGCGGCATCTTCCGAGGAGGACATCGACCGCAGACCCATCCGCCGCGTCCGCTCCAAGAGCGACACCCCCTACCTCGCCGAGGCCCGCATCTCCTTAAACCTCGACACAGGTGAGAGGCGGCCCGGCCCGGCCCGGCGCGGCGGGGAAGGCAGGGAGGGAAGGGGCCGCCCCCGCCCTCCGCCCCTGCCAGCGGCCCCGGGCGCCGCCGCCCGGCCCTGCCCCGCTGCCCGCGCCTTCGCACCTCGCCGGCCGCCCCTGGCCCTGGCCCGCAGGCCGGCTCCCCCTCCCCGCGCCTCTCACCTGGGTGAGCCGCGATCGGCTGCCCTTCTCCGTTCAGCCCCTCGAGCTTCCCCTCGCCCAGAGCGCCGCCCTCTCGCCCTGCACAGCGGCGTGGCGCATCCCCTCAAGGCTTCTGCGCTGTCCCTCCTCGCCAGGTGCTGGCATCCCTCCCGGAGATGCTGCCCTTGGTGTTTTGCAAGTCTCTCCCTGGCTCGCTCTTTGCCTTCTTTCCCTGATGGGTTTGTGCCTCAGAAGTGCAAGGAAACTTGCACCTGCGTTGTCCACTTAGTTTCATGATTGTCTCAGCGTTGCCTGTTGGGACTCTTGATGGGTTTACAGTCTGATGGTTTCTACCAACACAACTCCAGCTCCCCGCATTCACCTCCTCCTGCCTGTTGGGATGAACCTCCTGTTGTTCTCCACCTGACCTTCCTTCCCCTTTCTCCACTACTGTGCCTTCCTCTTTGCCACCTCTTCCTCACAACTCCCTTGAGAATTAAGCTGTCCCCTTCAGTTCATCCTGCACATGATGAAACTATCCTGTTTCTTTCCTACTAGGCCTGTGGTTTTCCCTCCTTTCTTGACCTTTCCTTATGAGCTCTTGTCAACAGCAAACTAACTACACCAGAGGTTACTTGCTCTCAGAAACAAAAGAAACAAAAGAAAAGAAAGTTCTTTCTGCTGGTTCTCTGCACCAAACCAGACTTCTTCTATTTGGGAAGGGGGACAGCATGAGGGAGGATCTGTAGCCAGCAGTACTGCAGCCTCCCTCATGTCCCAGCAGTAGCACACAAAATGACCCAACTGTGTAACATTCTTTGATGCTGAGCCTGTGAGCTCACTGCCAGCTGTAAAGGGAAAAGAGCTGCCTTGGAGTTGCTGTTTGCCCTGCTGCAGTCTCTCCCATCCCTCCTCCCCCTTTTCAGCTGGCAGAAAGTTGGAGATGGCAGAGATGCATTTTCTTTTCCATTTGGGGATGGAACAGATTTCCCTTCCCCCTCCTGTTATCCCTGCTGCATTTACACCCTTGGTAATGGCTGATCCACAGTTTGGTTTTACCACTGGCAGAACAGTTGGTTACATTGTAATGGCATGTCATTATTTCTCCCTGATCATGTCTTCTAAAAAATTACCAAACCATGGGTAAGTTGGGTAGCATTCCAGGGCACAGGGTGGAAGACTGTGCCAAGTTTCAGCTCTATAAAGAACTGGAAGTGAAAACAGAAAGAGCATCGCTGTGTGTGAGGTGTAAATAAAAAAAGGCTGTGTATGGTTATTTGACTGCTGAAATAACACTGTGCTGACTTGTGTTCTCTCAGGTAATGTTATGACATGTAGTTATAAATAGATAAACCAGCTAAGAGCAAGGCACCTTCAGGTCACCTAGTGCCTCACATCTCTATGCTGAGCTAGACATGCTGTCTTTGCTACAAGTCCCAGAGGATGTGCAAGTCTCAAGGTACCTCTTTCCTGCAATCCACCAAAGAATTTGGTAATTACACTTAGCTTCTTTCTGTTCCTCCCCTCCCCCTGGCTCTCTATAATTTGGGTCTTTACTTGCAAACCTGGGAATGGAATTCCTTAAAAAATAAATAATTAAAAGAAACAGTACTGGTGTATCAAGAAATATAAATGAAAAATGTTGTAAGTAGTGCAAGTGTGTGTTTTCATTAATCCATCTGGCAGTGAGTAGTAAAAAAAAATAAAATTGCTTAGCAACCAGTATGGAGTGAGTGAGCCAAAAAGCAAGTGAAACATGCCGCTGATACCCACTTCATTTCTGAGCTGTTGGGTTTACTCTTCTGTTTGCTCAGAAAGCACAAACCAAGCTGCCTGGGTATGAGAACCGTCTAGTCTGAGGAAAAAGCCACTAGAAAATGTGTTTGGCCACTTTTGCTCATGCTTGATAATGCCACGCAGTTCAGGCTTTCCTTTTGAAACTTATGTTTGTGAGGTGCGGTGCCTTTATATTTTTGGCTCTGTGTGTGGGGAGGGGGGGTGAAAACACCCTGTTTCTAAGCCGCCCAGGTTTCCATTTGCAGTCCCGTTGCTGGTGTCTCTGCTACTGTGGCACAGAGGGTACCAGGTCGCCCTTGGTGTTCCGGTGCCCTGCAGGTGGAGGGGCCCGACCTCCTGCCCAGGAGCCGGGGCGCTGTCCGCCGCCCCCGGTGCTGAAGCCGCTCCGCCGGGGCTGGAAGACGCGTGTCCTGCCTTGCCTCGTTCTGCTTGTCTGTCCGTGGGCTGGCAGCGCATGTGTGTGCACAGGGTTGTGTGTATCTATTTGCCTGTGCAAGGGGAGGGTGGTAGGAAGGAAGTAAAGCTGTTTCTTCAACCCACGGATGCAGTCAAAGCTAAAGTGATGCTCGGGGCACAGGAAAGAACCTCTTCCTTCTGTGCTTATTGTTTGCTTTCCATTTATTGCATTCCATATCTGCACTTGCTGCTCAACCACTGCTTACAGAGCTATTTTTCCTACAGCTGTTATGAGTCAATCTGCATTCCCCAGTCATTGTCTTCTGTCAGGAGGTGGTCAAAGTTTGGCTGCAGCGTGCAGGATCTGCTTTGCAGTATTGGAACTTCAAATCCATTTTATTAAAGAACCACAAACAGATACAGTGAATACTGCTCTTCTCCACCCTTAATTGCAACCAGTAGTTAAGAACTATCAGGTTTTTAATCTACTTCAGCTGTGAGTTATAATTATACCATTACTGCTGTTATTTGTACTGTCGAACAACTGAGATTGCATATACAGAGTCAATTATACAGTTTGGTTGTAGCATGTATTTGGTTTGGGTCTTTAAAAAACACAATTTGAAAGTGATTAAAGTGCAGCTTCCATCTCCCCTTGTCTTTTGATTATATTAACAGCTCTGCTTTGCTTGATTTTCCAAAACATACTAGTTTATTATGTTTGTTTCTAAATATTGATCAATTAACTCAGAATTATTACCTAGCATGAGTTGACAAATGCTGTTTGATTAGTTGTGCCTGGTATGGTTTTTTTTTTTTGGTGTTCCCAAACTGATTAAAATACCGCATTGTTTTCCAAACCCAGGGTTATTCTTTCTATTATTATACATATGCAAATCCTATTAATCTGAGTTATGTGCTCATATCAAGAGGATAATATTTCCCAAAGGATTAAAATTACCTCTTCTGCCAAAATTAATGTAGCTACATAACATCATAAAGCTATAGGCAGCTATAAATTCTTTTTCCATATTTGATACTAAATCAGTTCCATACAGAAATTAATTTTTAATTTTCTCAACAACTTCCTCCAGTGCAATACTAGAGGAGTATGGAATGTGCTCTCACTTTTGGCTGGTGGTCTTTTGTTTTCTTTATTATGATTAGCAATCTGGCATTGCACCATCTCTTAACATTCATCTTTCTACACATCAGCAGTTTTCAAATTTCCTTTCTAACTTTCTTTCAGGCATCTAAAGGCTAATCCCAAATTACTTCTGAAAACTTGTTCAGCTGTGACAGTTGCCCAGTAGCATAATCACTTTCCTGGTCCTGTGCCAGCTGATAAGTTCAAGTGGTTTTTATCAGTTTTGACCTGTTACAGGTTTTGGCCGATTTCTATTCTTCCTGTTGCAAAATATTATACTTTTTAAATAGCAATGCATGGTAGGTAGTTTTCAAGCTTGATAAATTGGCACAGGTGACTACTGATAAAGAAATAGACTGCTTAAAAGTCACTAAAATATCCAAGATGTATGAGCTTTTCTCCTCCTTCTCCCTTCATGCAACTGCTGGGGGAATCCCTGTCAGAATTTTATTGATGTTTCTTAGGGAAGGAGGGGACTACTGCACTGAGTTGATCTGGTCAGGTTCTCTTAGCCTTTCAAGTGTTAGTCATTATTGAAGCTATTTCTATATACAGACACATACTCTTACTCCTCTCTAGCCAAAAAAATAGTAAGCTTTGCACTGCAATCCTCTGCAAAGCTAATTCTAGCAGACTGACTTCTTGTTAAGTGGTGCAAGAAGTTGTCTTTGTCTCATCTCCTCAATCATTCAGGGAAGTCACCAAATGTCAGCTTTTGTTTCAGCAAGGCTGATTGTCTACTTATTTAACCTGGGAATGGAGACTCAGGGAGAAAGCAAGCCAATGCCTTGGAGAAGGTGTAAGGCCAGAATGACTAGAGTAGCTGTACTAGGGGTCAGCAAAGAGGGGATGTTCCTTCTGAAAAAGTTAGCTTCCATGCTGTGAAATGGGAAGAGGGGGGATTTTGAATGTGAATATATTCCTCCCACACTGACTTCAAAGTGTGTACCAGTGGTGCAACCAAACAGAAGCCAGAGGAGTAGCAGGAGGAGTGCAGGAGCTGGCCTCTGAAGAAAGAGGAAGGAGGGGGGAAAGAGGTAGTGACAGAGCTCGATAGAGATGTTGCAGCCTGTGCAAGCTATGGACCCCAGCTGGCTCGCTCGGCCCTGGAGCGTAGCACAGATTTTTAGTGCACTGAAGTCACTCTCACTGAAGTAGCTGGATCCTCAAGTGATTTAAGTCATTGTTGACTTCAGCCAGGGATCTGAGTCAGACTGTAGAAATATACATCTCTGCTCCCCTTCAATGATGAAAGATCTGTTTTATCTCTTTCTGGTGTGGAGCCACATGTTGTCTTGGAATGTGTTCTGGGAAAGCAAAGCTGAGAGGGAAAGGTCTTAGTGGTTGTGCATAATTTTGCCATGGGTACAGAAGAAGGGTCCTTGTATCTCGAAAGGCAAGTGAACTTAGTACCATATACTGTTCTTAAGCAGTGACAAATAAATCACACTGGGGAGAAGAAAAAATCTACAGCAGTCTGTGTTAGTGCTGCTGCAAGCAGAATTAATTCACAGGGTGTAAAGAGGGAGGAGGATCCTGGCAAAAACTGCTGAATGGCTGAGACAAATGTTCGCAAGCTGGGGAATGTTCATGGTCGGCTGTTTCTGTCATGCAGAGCTGGTGGGGGAAAGCCAGGACACAAAGGGTGACTGTTGGTTTTAAATGTGTGAGTTTTTTTGTTCTGGACCAGGCACAAAGT